TCCCCCTTGCCCAAGGAGATAAATACCTTTAGCCTATGAACTAATAATTACTTGGACAAAATCCTACAAACCATGCTCTATTGGTCAGGATTGAACTAGAAAAGTAATTAGATGTTTCCCCCTTGTTTTAAATAAAAAAGGGCTTTAAGCTATCCAAAATAAATGACTACCATCTAATTATTAGGAAACACTAGACAAACCCACCTTGCAGGATTTTCTACAAATAACTGCACAAATGTCAAGGTTGCGATTGGAGGAGACATGACAACTAAGTGCATTGTGGGGGTTTAGATTGACTCCTGGACCAGAAAAAGGACGTTAATGGAAACACTGGTGGAATTTGAATAGGCCTGTAGTCTAGTTAATAGTATTGTACCAATGTTAAATTCCTGGGTTTAATAAATGTACCTTAGTTATGCAAGTTATTAACCTTAGGGGCAGCTGGAAAGGCTGCAGAAACTCCTTGTTCTAATTTTGCAACTTTTGTCTGTCAAAAATTATTTCAATTGAAAAGTTAAAAAATTAATAACCAGCTAATTTATTTACACACCCAATCTTATTTAACTGCAACACTTGGTTTCTCTTGGTATCTAATTATTCCTGGACCATCTGGCTTTAGAATGCAGCATGCGAGAAAGCATTAAAAAACAGGAAGAAGCAAAGAACTTCTGAACACCAATCAGAAAGCAGGTTTTTCTTTGTCTTTTTACAAAGGTTGTGTGTGATTTACTTAATGTTGCTAAGTATAACCTGTAGCCTTTCTGAAACAATAGTGAATGCTCCTTGGTTTGTACTTGCATTAAGTTGACTAAAGACTTACTTTTTCTGTGTTCAAGGACAACTTAAATTTTTTTAATTGAAAAAGAGAGTAACATTTGCTGCACAGGAATTATTTACACTATGTCCTTTACCCAAGGTTTCTTTTTCCTTTGTTTCACTTCCAATTTTTTCCCTTTGAAATTGTTGCTTTGATCTGAGGCAAAGAAGTTCAAATGCATTGCTGAGGTTGCCCAGTAGCACCGCTCTCTTACTTATACCAGCACAACTATTGATTATGGTTCCTATAGCTATATGTGTAGTGTTGAATAAACTATTTTAAATATAGTTTATAAAAATAAATATCTGAATTCTATTTCCAGGTGACTGAAATAACTTCCTTTTCATTGACTGAATTTGCCCTGTGATTTTTCCCTCTTGAACCTCCCTCTCAGTTTTGTACGGAAATGTATTTTTTAGTATATTCATGTCATCATAGTCTATCTCAATGTCTGTGCAAAGGGGAACAATTTAAGACCTTACTATAATGATCACATTTCCCTAAGTCTCTTTTACTTCAGAGTAAATGAAATAGGTAGTAGTGGAGAATTCCAAAGGAAGTCTATTTATTATTTGTGTGTTTATTTATCAATTACAGTTGACATACAATATTATTTTAGTTTCAGGGGTACAACATAGTGATTAGACATTTATATAATGATCACCCCAATAAGTCTAGTACCATACATTTTGGAAAAAAATTCACTTTAAAGTAATTTATCAAGTGTTTTATAATTGATGAAGTGGAAAAATCCCATTTGGGAAGAGTTTTAGAATTTTTAACATGTGAAAAGACATGTTAAAGAGGATACTGATGAAGAAAATGTCCAATCTAGTTATCAACAGAGATTTTTGTTTCCACCATTCCTCTCACAGAGCCATTCCATATGTGACAATGTTCCCAAATCTGCATTCATCATTAGCTTTGACAGTCCTACACCCAATACCTGATATAGCCAATATAAATCCTGAAACACTGCTTATCACTTAAAATAGGACTTGAAGTTAATTAATTTGCCTGTGTCTTTGTTTGCATCCAGCCTAAGAAGTTATCTTGCTAATGTGAACAGATTAAAAAATACTTCAAAGACCTTTATATTTAATTAAAATAGAAGCTTCTAATGTGACCCAAGTTGTACAACAGTTATGGACTTATAGAAAACAGGAGGAATCTTCCAAAAAGTGGTTGGAAAGAGATTTATGAATCTTATTGAAGTTAAATTTTTTGAACTTAACATTAGTTATGGAAATGCAACTCATTACATCAGCCAGACTTACAGGCAACAATATTGAAGGTCATAAAGTAATTCAATTTAGGGAGAAATGATAGTTGTAACATTTAACCAGATATATATGGACAATAACATAGTGAATAAAAAACTTAAGAGTCAGACAGGCTTTGGCTTGAATTCTGGCTGTGCCATTTTGTTTATTCCTTCATTTATTCCAGAGATATTTACTGACACCCAGTCAGTGGGGACACAGTAGTGAACAAAACAGGCATTTTCCTACCTCTAGGGACATCATAGCTAAATGGGGGATGTATATATAAAGTATGAATAATCATACAATTAAAGAATAGTTACTGTTGGTGATTATATGAAAGATAAGTGTTGGGAACATGAGAGCAAATAACACAAGAACCTAATTTAAATAGATTGAGGGTTTGGGAAGGTCAAGTTAAGGACTGAAAGCAGGCCATGTGGTACCTGGGTAGAGTCAGCCAGAGTAAGAGAGGGTAGCATTGAGATAAGATGAGGGGAGAGGCAAGGAGAGGAGGGAAGGAGAGAGGAGAGGAGAGGAGAGGAGAGCCAAAAAACACAGCTGTGAGATTTGATCAAATTGCTTATCCTCTTTGAAACGGAATTTCCTTTTTATGCAATGTGGATAGTAACAGCTTCAGGTGGTTGCTCTCAGAATTAAGTGGTAATGTGCCTGTCAATCAGGCTTAATACAGACCTAGCATAATAAGTATTTATTACCTGGTGGCTATAAATAATATGTCTTTTTGGAGTTTACGTTCTGGTGAGGTGATAATATCTACCTCAAGAAAGGAAATAAGCAAAGAGAGGCTGATAGTTGTTTAAAGAGCATTAGAGAAAAATTCCACATTTATGCTAATTTTAGAAAAAGATTATTTACTGCAGTCACAACTGAAGGAAGAGGTAAGACAAAACATCTTAATGTTGCCTGATCAACAAGCAAACTTAAGTGACATATATCAGCAAGGTTACAGAAGAAAGATATGGAGGTTATAGAGTGCGAATTAATGTAATTTTCCATAACATACATCTGGCATGTAAACCTTGAGAATACGATTAGCTGTTAGACAAGGGGTGACAAGGACAGGAAGTTTCTAAAGAGAGGATGAGTTAAAGAAACAATTGCAAACTTATTAGCCGAGATGTTTTCATAGCAAGATACCGAATAATCTATACAAATAGATAGGAAGGGACCTTTAGCGAGGATGAAGGCTTTTAATTTTGGTCCCTTCAAGGTAAATATTTGATAGATGTGTTAAAGTTTTCTCCTTATCTAACAAGATGTGGATGAATCATTCATGGCCTTGCCTCCCCAGTGTATCTGGGCCAACTATCTCCCATCTTCTCCAGCATCTTCTAAAGCTCATATCTACGGTATGTTCTAGGTTGATTTCTAGCCAGGGCTAATTTTAAAAATATGCATTATTTTCTATTTTTACAAGAGGGGAGTGAAATTCCACCTATACTTGTCCCAGCATGCCTTTGTTTAGCAGTAGTAAGGTGTTATTATAATAAAGTAAGTAAGTTCGGCTAGGTGTTTTTATCTTTGATATGCTAACCCTAAACTGTGACCAGAGGGGAAGAAGCCTTTGCATTCTGTTCATCTACCCATCCATCCGTGTCCACCCATCTCTCATCCATCCATCATTCATTCATTCGTTTCACAAACATTGGATGGGCATCTATTGGAAAGACATTGATAGGGATGTTCATCATGTGTAGGCAAATGCTTGGTGCTGGGGATACAAATAAAACTGATTCTCTGTTTTGTCCTGAAACCCACAACCTTGTAGCTGAATCATCCATCTATTAATATCCAGCATGTATTTCATGAGTGCCTACTCTGTGCCAGTAAAAACAGACACAGGGCCTGTCCTCATGGAGCGTACATGAGTGGTAGACATAATCTAGTGTGGAGGGGAAGGGCTGTGCTTTCTAAAATGGGCTTGTGGCTACTGAGGGCATGCACAATGATTAATGAGAGGCTCAGGAAGGAAACATTTGAATTTTTATTTATCTTCATCTCAGCTTACTTCATATTTTTGGTATATTTGGTAATGTGCCTAGTATATACAGTAGTACATGTGTGCCAATTATTCATAAATAATATTTGAGTTTATTCCACTGATCCATACTCATAAGCTTCCATAAACAAAAACATTTGCAGGCCTCAGGTAAAAGGATGGATGCGGGATCAGCTCGGCCTGTGGGTTTGGGGTTGGTTTCCGTCGCTCCCTGCCTGTGGGTCCTTGGCCAGCGCTGAGCTCCTCATCCTTCACAAGAATTGATCTAAGGATTGAGTGCAGTAACGTTAGTAAAGTGCTTATGTTGTGTCTGTTATAGCAAGTCCTCAAAAAATGACTGTTAATATTATTATTATTCATGTGATAAATATTAAAATTAAGGCATCTTCAAGGTTATATAAAAAATATTGAGACGGCACTGATGAAGCAATGACCCTTAATGTCATAAATTATTGGTGGGGATGTAACTTGGTGCTACTTTATGTGTAATATGTACCAAGATCCTTAAAAATTTTAAGTCACTTTAACCCAGTTGTCTCCCTTTGAGGAATTTATTCTAAAGAAAAAATTGGAAATTTCAACACATTTATGATAGTGACAGATTGGAAAAAGAACCAAATGTCCAAAGGTAGAATGGTCAGATTAATTTACAGCTTTATAATGGAATATTGTGCATCTCTTAACGTTTTTTAGAGACTAGTGGGAACATATTCATACTTAGCGAAGAAGATAGGATACAAAGTTATAGCGTGACCCCAATTATGTTTTCTTTTCTTTTCTTTTTTTTAAACACACACTATTGCATCAGTCTGCACTTAATTTTGGATGAAGTTTTGGCAGAACCATTTTCAATCCTGGTGTGGAAATGCTTTAAAAGTATTAAATCAGCCTAGGCTATATGACATTTGAGAGCTTGGTAAGTTGGTTAGATATATGAGGTCGCTAGTCTCGCCTAACAGGATATATTTCACTGGCCTCAGCAGGATGCTGGGTCCCGATGATGAGGAATGCAGGCTTCAAACCCGGACAAGAGGTCCCAGAAATGTGTTTCTGATATTAACTTAGTTAATGTTGTCAAATGATATTCAGAGGATCGGCCAATGAACAGGCATTAATTCCTTCTGTGCTGTACTTCCAAATTATCCTAGAAAAGCCAGAACCCTGGGGAGATGTCTGCTTGGACTCCATGGTTTTGATCTTGCTACGGAAGTGTTTTTGCTGAACAAGGACTTAGCATTACTCGTTGGATTACTTCTCGGATTTTGAAATATTGTCATGATTTCCTGTAGTGAGTGGGTGTGCTGTTACGGAGACGCTTGTTAGCTTTACCTTGTGGATTGTGTGACCCATGTTGATCTGCTTGGAAGGTCAAACTGTGGCCCCCTCTAGGAAGAGCTCAGCACCAAGAGCATGTATCAGACACTTGCTTCTTCTTATTCTCAGCTCTTGTTTTTTTTTTTTCTTTACTGCCATTTGTTTACTTCCTTTTTGTTGTTCTTGTTTCATTTATTTATTTATATATGTATGCATTTATTTATTTACTTAGTTATTTATTTTTTAGTTAATCCTCACCCAAGGATATTTTTTTCCATTGATCTTTTAGAGAGCATGGAAGGGAGGGAGAGAAACATCCATGTGAGAGAGACACATCGATTGGTTGCCTCCCGCTCACTCCTGACCGGGGCTGGGGCCCGAAACTGCAAGCCAAGTATGTGCCCTTGACCAGGAATCGAACCTGAGACCCTTGGGTGCACGGGCCGAGGCTGTAACCACTGAGCCTCGGGCCAGGGCCCAGCAGTATGCATCGTCCAGGGCTCCTGTTGAGGGTGCTCTCCGGTGGACCGGCTAGAAGAGGAAGCGCGCGCTGGCGGCCAGCACGGCCTTGGGCTCCGGGCATCAGGGACCGGGACCTTGACCAGCAGCTCGGAGTTCTGGGCCGAAGGAGACATCAGCGCTAGGGACCGATGGCACTTGATACGACAGATGAGGATGGGATGCGAGCATGGAGTGGATCAAACGGGAGGGCTAAGATGATAGTCAAAAGTGCATCCATCCATCCATTCATTCTACAAATGGTTATTTGCATCGTGAGGTCCTGAGAGTGGCTGTGAGGTATGATGTCGTGAACATCACAGTCTTCTGAGGGAGTGAGACATTAAATGCTTAATTACCCGTAGACTTTGTTCCTCACCATTGTGTTTGGTGTTGTGGAGGAGAAGCACGGTTGCTCTGAGAGGGTATTTGAAAGTTAGCTGGGTGGTCAGTGGGAGTCCTGATTGATCTAAAGGAAACTGGGCTGAGGAAAATGATTTTAGAAGATTTATTAAAAAGGGTTTTTATTTTTCAATTACAGTTGACATTCAGAATTGCATTAGTTAACAGGTATGTGGCATAGTGGTTAGACATTCCTATAACTTACAAAGTGATTCCCCTGAGAAGCGGATTGGGAAGACTTTTAAACGGTAACTAGAAGAGGGAGAGGGTTGCCACTGAGGTGTATACACTGGCTTAGCTGATTTTCTTGTTGGCCTCTGACCCTTCTCTGATCTTCCCCAGATGCCTCCCGTCGTGTTTGTTCTTCATGAGAATGGGATGCAGGTCATGGGGGGAGAGAGGGTGAGCTCTGATGATGAAGGAGCTATGGGTTCTGTCCTTCAAAAGGAAGGGTCCTAAGCAGGAGTCTGCCCACTGGAGTCTGTCCTGTCGAGCGAGCTGAGAGCGTTCTTATTGTTTTCCTGTAATGAAAGTTGCTAAGCACTGCAGTTTAAAGTTTGAGATCTGCCTTTAATCCTATTTATTCTGGACACAAAGGAGAAAACTTAGTTCTTGTTGTCTTCTTGCAAGTATTCTTAGAAGAGGTTGCGAATTATTTGACTTCTTTGTAAAGTGAAACCTCCAGATTACATGTTACTAACGTTTCCCACTGTCTTCTCATTTTTTCTAAAACGGGCCTCTGGGGAGGCGTAGCTTCAGCAGTGTGTGGGCTGGATGTCAGGCCTTCCTTCTAATGGAGGACATGCTACCAGGTATGATGACTCAGTGTCATTTCTATTGAGTTTTCTTTTCTTTTAAAAAAAATATATTTTATTGATTTCAGAGAAAAAGGGAGAAGGAGAGAGAGAAAGAAACATCAATGATGAGAGAGAATCATTGATTGGCTGCCTCCAGCATGTCCCACACTGGGGGTTGAGCCCGAAACCTGGGCATGTGCCCTGACCAAGAATCGAACCGTGACCTCCTGATCTGGTCAACCACTGAGCCACACCACCCGGGCTCTATTGAATTTTCTGTGGGCAGAGCTAAGGGCCACGTTGGCAGAGAAAGCAGGGATTTAATGCAACACAAAAGTTATTTAGGTCCTTTCCTCTCTCTCTGGCTTGTCTTTGGATAATTGGAGATCCTTTTTCACAGTTAATAAAGACATTAAAAATCATTGAATTGTTTTAATTTTTGAAGATTCTTACTATTTTGGCTATAATATTATTTATATTCCTTTTATTTTAATGGTGAACTTTCTGTCCCAAATGTAGTCAAAACGTTGTAGTTGCACAAAAAACACATTCCAAGTATTGCTGAAACTCGGATTCTTTCTGCTTCTGCCTCCCTTGTGATGCTGAGGTTCAAGTTCAGGGTTTCCTGCTGCCTCTGCAGCCAGGAAGGAATTAGAAAACATGGAACTCCGTTTCTTAAGGTGGCACACTAGGATATGGAAATTGAGAATCTAGTAATTGGACTCTTCACACATGCTTTCAGTTGTCTTTTGCTTAATTAATTAAAAATTAATTTTAATATTAAGAATAGTCACTTCAGAGGCAATGAAGTTTGGCAGATATCCTTCAGACCATTGAACATACTTTTTGGCCCTCGCCGATTTGGTCAACGATAGAACATTGGCCTGAGGACTGAAGGGTCCCAGGTTCAGTTCCGGTCAAGGGTACATCCCCAGGTTGTGGGCTCAATCCCCAGTAGGGGGTGTGCAGAAGGCAGCCAATCAATGATTCTCTCTCACCATTGATGTTTCTGTCTTTCTCTACCTCTCCCTTCCTCTCTCTGAAGTTAATAAAAATATTTAAAAAAACCCAAAAAACAAAACAAACATACTTTTTGTGTTCATACTTATGCCTATAGAAAATATATTATTTTGTTTAACATGTATTTTAAGAACATAAATGGCATCATGCTGTTAGTTTTGTTCTCTAATTTACTGTATTTAAAAAATAGTATATTTATGAGATCTATCCATGCTGCTCCAAACAGGTCAGTTCCTTTACCTACTTTCTAGATTCCCCTCTTATGGATGGAACTGTGTGGATATTCAATAGTTGAACAACCAATGGACACTAACAGCCATGAACATCATGCAGAATTAGGAGTAGAATTGGGGGTCATAGGGTATATGCCTAAGTGCCCCTGGCAGTGGAGGTACATAGTACATACCCATTCTTTAAACACACTTAAGCTTACTTTAAACTGATACACCATAGAGAAGCAATTGTTGCTTTCAGACCCACTACTAGTTGTTTGATATTTGGTAATGTAATTTTTAAAAAATATATATTTTATTGATTTTTTATAGAGTAAGGGAAAGGGATAGAGTGTTTGAAACATCGATCAGCTGCCTCCTGCACACCCCCTACTGGAGATGTGCCTGCAACCAAGGTACATACCCTTGACCGGAATTGAACCTGGGACCCTTCAGTTTGCAGGCTGACGCTCTATCCACTGAGCCAAACCGGTTAGGGCTGGTAATATAATTTTATTTAGGCCTAAATGGTCTCATTTTTTAGGTGAGGGGATAAAAACCATCTCTACTCATAGGATTGTTAACCCCTCCCCACCCAATGAAAAGAACCCTTAATTTCTTTTAGTAGAGCAATTATATTAAGAATCTTTTGGAATGCTGTATTTTTTTTTCCAATAGAGATATTGAATCAGAAGGGTTTTTAGGTGAATAAGAGTGATACCCAAGACAAAAGGACTGGGAAAATAATGTAAAAATAATAGGCCAGCTTTCCAACAAAACTTGATTTTATGCTGAAATGTCTTCTTCCAAACCTTTCCCCACAACTGCTAAGACGTAGATGCTTAGATTAATTTTCTGGATCCCACAACCCACCACACTATTCCCTGCAGGCATTAGGGAGCGCTGAAACAAATGCAGATATAAGGGAAAAAGCAGGAGGGGCCAGGAAAGTCCTTCAAAGCAGGAGAACTGATGAGTAGTCAAAATGGGCTGGAACAGGATGAGGTCGGAGCAGTACATTGTTCAGGAGTTGATTTATGCGCTGTAAGTTACGGCAGAAACTTTGCTCGGTGGGAAGAAGTTGGAGGCCACGGGGGGAGGTTCTTAGAAGGAATTGCTTACTGGGGCAGCACAGGAAGCCTGAAGAAGGAGGAAGGGAAGGAGAGGGAGAGGGAGAGAGAGAGGAGGGGAGGATGGGGAAGGGGGAAGACTAGGCAGAGAAGGAAAAGGGGGAGAAGGAGGGTGAAGGGAGGGAGAGAGAGAGAGGAGAAAGAGAGAGAGAGAGAGAGAGAGAGAGAGAGAGAGAGAGAGAGAGAGAGAGAGAGAGAGAGAGATTGATTCCATAATGGGGAGAGCCTTGGTCATACAATTGTGCACTGCAGTATGGAAAAAGGCTGGAACAAAGGCAAAGTGCTTATAGGATAGAAAGATAGGAGTGGACTTAGGAGATTTTGTGTGCCAGAGGTAGGCAGTCATTTTCTTCTTTTCTTTTTTTTTTTGTCCCTGGGATAATAAGACAACCAAATACCATAGTAGCAAGACTGGCCCCAAGACATTGTCCCTAGGTCAGATAATTGGGCACATTGTGTACTAAATTATGAATACGCTTATCTCTTCTTTTTGCCATTGAGCTTTGAAGCCATCCTTTATTCGGAAAAGACTATGAGCCACCCAGTGAGACAATTTCCATCATTATCATAATAATATCAGCAGCAGAATCAAATCATGTGTGGCTGGCTTTCTAAAATTAACATAAAATTGCTTTATGGGTTAGCTGAAAGATACCTAATAACTTAGATTATGCTCATGTGAGGACAAACGGATGAGTTTTAATCGTGCCACTTTGAAAAGGGTAAAATTAGTTTTTTTAAAAAGTGAAGATTGTTTATTACTTATAGAAAAAGTTGAAGAATTTTCAAAAAATATTACAAATTTCAGGAGGCTTGAGTAAGAGAACCGGATGTGTCTGTGTTCACATGCGTTCAAGTCCTCTGTGCTACCTGGGCTGTTTCTTTGTCCTCATGTTCTTCATAAAGACATTGCATAGCAGAATTTGTCATTTTTTGTACATTTTTAACCTTGTACTTGCTACTCTTTTTTAATTTAAGGGGATAATGATTATTCTTCTGAATATGAAAATAATACATGGTCATTGTAAAGGATTTGGAAAATAGAAACACATAATAAAGAAGAAAATAAAATCTAGTCCTATAACTAAAAGATAATACAGTTAACATTCTCTTTCCAGTATTTTTTATTTTATTTTTTAAAATATATTTTAACGGAATCGAACCTGGAACCCTTCAGTCCACAGGCCAACGCTCTATCCACTGAGCCAAACTGGTCAGGGCGGTATTTTTTATTTTAAATGATATTTAATTTTACAGTTAATGCTAAATATATACTTTAAAAATATTTTTATTGATTTCAGAGAGGAAGAGAGAGGGAGAGAAAGATAGAAACAACAATGATAGAGAATTATTGATTGGCTGCCTCCTGCACACCCCTCACTGGGGATTGATGGAGCCTGCAACCTGGGCATATTCACACTGTGACCTCTGGGTTCAGATTTTTGTTGTTGAGCCTAATTGTTCCTAAGTTTTTGCTATTGCAGATTTTGGGGAAAATTTTGCTAAAGAATGCCTTTCTGAATATTTTTGTATTTAATCATTGGGTATGTTTTCATTTCCTTAGATAAGATTATAAGTAGGACAAATAGTGTTAACTTTTAAAGTCTATTAATCCATACTACCAAATTCCTTTCTAGAAATTTTGTACCATGTTCCTTTCTATGAGCACTGTGTTAACATGTCTTTCTCATAGAACTCTCTCTTAATACACTTGATTATTAAGTATACCTCAAATGTTGCTAAGTTTAAAGATCAGAAATACTATTGCACTGATATTATAATTTGTATTTAATTGATGACCAGTGAGGTAGGATACTTTTCACTGTATTAGCTATTTATAGTACTGCCAATAATGGTTAGTTTTTCTGTATAAATTTTCTTTTCAGGCATGGTTTGTTATTGGTTTGAGTAGATTCTTTGTATATTAAGGTTTTGACTATATTACTTTTGCCAATGTTTTTCCAGTTTGATCTTTCACTTTAATTTCTGTTTACACATTTCTAATATATAGGTTTTAAATTTTTGTTGTCTTCTGTGATTTTTAAAAAAATATATTTTATTGATTTTTTACAGAGAGGAAGGGAGAGGGATAGAGTGTTAGAAACATCGATGAGAGAGACATCGATCAGCTGCCTCCTGCACACCCCCTACTGGGGATGTGCCTGCAACCAAGGTACATGCCCTTGACCGGAATCGAACCCGGGACCCTTCAGTCGGCAGGCCGACGCTCTATCCACTGAGCC